ATCCCTTTAGGAAAACATACATACTGAGAATTAATTTATGATTGCTAATTAATCGGAATTATTAATGGAAAACGAATGAGCAAGCACAATAAAATGACCAAAAACACATATTCACATTTTTCTCAATAAAAATTAATAAATAGCTATCCGGTCTCGTTTGCGCGATGTGTTTTATTTAATAGCCATTTTTATACTCTTGCAACATGTTGCTACAGGGTATTATAGTTTTGTTCACCTAACAGTTGGTTATATCACCTAAAAATAATCGAGCCTGTGAGCTAAAAATTTTAAAAATAGGCGTAGCCCCGCCCACTAAGAGGTTTAATGTACTTATTTATATCTTAATACAATAACCAAATTCGTTCAGGGAAAAATCCCTTAAGCACTTCTCGCAACGCTGTAACAATGGCAGACCTTAAAACAAGGCGATAGGCGTGCCACTGCCCACCTTTAGGTGAAAACCCATATTTCGTCAAAACTTGCCCTAGCCCCATATAACTACTATCACGATTTTCGAACATCCGGCTGACTTTACTCCATTTAGAACATTGGTGATGGTATATGAAGTATCTGAATGAAATATGTATTATTAGTATGTGGCAAGTTAATAGTATGTGGTATTGCTAAAAACAGACAAAAATTGGTCAATACATCGCTTAGAGCCCATATACGTAATATACAATTTTCAAACATCCTGTTTGCTTTATACCATATGGTATACGGAGTACCAAGCCTCCCATTTTCGTTTTTCTAACAAGCATTTTGACGAATATGTCATTCAGTGTTTATATCGTATATATGGTATTTATAAAATTGCTTAAAAATGTATTATCAAGTATACTTGAGCAATGTCCCTTTTCCTACCTGCTATAGGTATAGCATATATAATGATTTTCGACTTTCTATATGACTGTAAGCCATACAGGTTGGTCAAAATGTGTGAAATTTTAATGAAATTAAATCGACAAGCTTCTATGAAAACTATGTGGTTTACCACTAAATATAAATGGAATTGGTCTAAACCTCATATCCATAATATTATACAAAGAAGTTTAATCCTCTGGTTGACGTTTTCCACAACAACTCAATATATTACATTAGCCGCTTCGGCTGAGTTTATATATATATATCACATATTTCTCATTTAAGAATGATTTTAATATAATTTTCGTTGACGCGATAAAACTAAATGAGTATGTGACCTTCAATATAAATTAGTAAGACACCAAATTTGATTGTTATCCATTCACGATATCGCCAAATAATGAAAGTTAAACTCTTTCGTAACATTTTTGAATATAAAATTTGCCAACACCTATAAGCACTTCGCAGGTTTCAAGAGTATAAATTGTTGGGTTACACCCGAACTTAGCAATTCCTTACGTATTAAATATAATTTTCCACTTGTTGCCCATTGTTAAATAACCGGCAACTCATACGGTTCACAGCATTTACCATGTTGCTGCTCTTTCAACAATACACAATTTTTTCTGTATTTAATATATGCATATACATATGTACAGTTGCGTGCAAGTAATTAACAACGATATAAGATTTATCAATAACTTGTTGATTTCTTTATCTGCGCCTTACTTTTGCTCACTTACAAGAAAGATATGGGTATATTTAAAACAAAAAAAAACATATTTGCGCATCTCGAAAAACAGTATTAAAAAAAACAAGTAAGGAAGTGCTCAGTTCGGATGTAACCGAACATTTTATACTCTCGCAAAGTCAAATGGTATACTCGTTTGAGATTTCTTTGTGGATTGACTGATATTTTCGGTAGAAGGTCAACTATAGGCACTGGTTGCCACCCGATTTCAACTATTTTCACACCGTCAATAGAAGTGCTAAAAACATTTGCTTCCAGTGAATTTTGTTATTATAGCATTAGCGGTTTAGGAGATATGCACATTAAACCTATTAGAGGCGGGACCACGCCCACTTTTTAAACAAAAATTTTAACTGCAGATGCCCCTCCCTAATGTGATCCTGTGTACCAAATAACAGTCTTGTATCTTATTGCGGAGCTTAGTTATGGCAAGTTATTTGTTTTTGATTAATGGCGTTTTGTGGGCGTGGCAGTGGTCCGATTACGTCCATCTGCAATACCAACCGTCTCACGGTACCATGAAACATGTCTACCAAGTTTCATAAAGATATCTCAATTTTTACTTAAGTTAGAGCTTGCACGGACGGACGGACAGACGGACGGACGGACAGACAGTCACCCGGATTTCAACTCGTCTCTTCATCCTGATCATTTATATATATATAACCCTATATCTAACTCGATTAATTTTAGGTGATACAAACAACCGTTAGGTGAACAAAACTATTATACTCTGTAGCAACAGGTTGCGAGAGTATAAAAATGTAAGATTTTGAAGCAACACCATTATTGTCGATTACCGCTTGACATATGCGTGGTATTGACTCCACTACTTTTTGGCAGATGTCCTGTGGAATACATTCTCACTGCTTTTTTGCCATTTCGGGTAATATTTCGAAATTTTTTACTTTATAAGCACGTACCTCTTTTGCAAGTAAGGCTGAGGGTTATTGGTATGGTTTCGACCTAGACTACATAATGACTAGTCTAAAACAGTCACCTAATTGTCATGACACCAATGCTTGTTACGTCGAGCTGTGTGTTTCGAATCGTTATCCTACTACTACTGCATCCATATTACGGGCATGTTATCGTTATCATATTTCAGCATGACTTCGTTCATAATCGAAATGTACGTAAATAGATCTATTTATGCATCAATTTTGAATATATCCGCGAAGTCACGCCTTGACATTACGCCCCAAAGCATTTTATTGCTGCCATCAAGCTGCAGTGTTGGAGTAATGTACCTAGGATGCAGCTCTTCACGTTTTAAAGGCCTAACATAACTTTTCCCATCTGAACACACTCTGCTTATTTTTTCTTCGTCAAAAGTAACAGAACCTTTTTCTATTCACTTGTTAAGTGAAGGTATTTTAAACGATCTGCAAACGATTTCTTTTATTGCGTACAGAGGGCAGCGTCTTCTTTCTGAAAATCTTTCCGTATAGTCAAGCTTTTCGCTATCGCCTTAACAGTATCTACGCTTGGTACGTTCTCATTTTACCCAAAAGTCGATACTGTAATTCCCCTTGGCAGTTATATGCGGATTCTTTCGTGATTCGAGAACAACCAATTCTCTTAATGTCTTCTTATTTAAATGACGTTTTACGCGCTCTCCTTCTGTGTGAAACTTGTCTTGTAGTCTTATTTTTTTTATAATACTGGATTACATTAAACACTAGCACTTTCGATATATTGAGCGAATTTGCGATTTTACCGTATGACTTACCGTTCTCTCGCAACTGAAGCATAACGGCCATAGTGCCTTTACCACAGAATTTATTTTTACCCATACTTTTGTTTCACTAAATTTATTAGATTTAGGTACTTTCTTAAAAATATAATAAAAGCCTGGCACAAAATATCTTAAGTTGCAAAAAAATTGAGAAATATACGCGCGTTGCTAATTAGGTGCACGACCGCTTTTATCACATTTGCAATAAAAATTAAGAGGATTTTTAATAAGTATTTTTGACAGCTTTCGAGAGACATACTATCATGTGAAAGAAACTAATAAAAACATCACTTCTATTCGCGCAGCGGCATGCCGTTGTTAATTAGTTGCACGCAACTGTATGTATGTAAGTATGCAGTGCAGTTGGAGTAAAGCTTAATTAATTACTTTTGTAATATTGTAATATTCGGAATTGTACAAGTTCGCTATATTTATTTTAATTTTTCGTGCAGTTATACCTTTTTAGTAATTACATTATTCGATTTACAAGCATTTTCCATTGACCAAGCATGACAGTGATAAACGTGTTCAGCTGCAAAGAGCGCAGCGTAACAGTAAAATTGACATTTCCGAAAACAAGTACTTGAGTATTTTAACAAGTGATTTTAAAAAGCAGAGCATCCTTCACTCCGATCGAGTTCTGATTTGCATGCAAATTATAATTTAACTAAACGCTCCAACGCAAGCTCTAACAAATGTAATATAAAACATTTTTTCAATTGTACCGACTTTTTATTCCCTTCTGAGTTATTTAATAATATGAATGAACTCTGTATAAGCTGTATATGAAAATATGGAAATTCGTAAATAAAATTCAAACTTTATTAAATTCTGCATAATTATTCATTGAATTTGTCACGCGCTGTTAAATTAAAGTGAATTAACTATCGTCATCACCGTTTGCAATTTACATGCAAGTATCTATCGCAACTTTAAATAGTTATCATAAATGTGTATTTAATTAGTTGCTTTTATTGTACAAACTTAATATTCAGATGTTAACATTGATTTCTGATATGGTTTTAATTAATAAAAAAAAACGCTATTTTAAAAGAGACAAAAAAAAATTCAAATGAAATATAATATTCAATAAAAACAGGTAAATAACTTAACTGTTCATACATATGTACTTATATGAATGGAAATGAAGAGCGTAAAAACGCTGAGAGTAAGTGAAATATTAGAAAATATGACAATTGGGACTCGTCAGTACTTTCGATAGAAATATGAGTTTTTCGGCATTTGAACCTCTACAAATTCTTTAAAGATAAAATAAGTATTTCTCTATCTTCACTCTTAGATCAAATTTATCAAATGTCAAGTGTGCGGAAGTGTTTATAATGAGTAGTGTAATTAAGTTGGCTATTTAGCTAGCACATCAAAGAATAAAGTGGCATGAAGCACAGATTTTACATTTACATTACATTAATTTGCAGTAAGAAAACTATAAAAATGTACTACTACAAAAGCAAACAGTAAAAAATTGGACTCAAATTAAACCCCAAATGTAATCTCAATTCACATTCTTGTAATACAGGGCAAGAAATTGGTTCAAAGCTAATGACTCGCCGTTGTAAAAAATTCTACCTACTGCTCTATGTAGGCAGCCCGCTATACTTATCTACTATACAAGTAAATTAAGCTTACCTTTTATAAAACCAAAAGGAATAATAAATTAAGGTATTTGAGAAAGTCTGAAACGAGAGAAAAGATAATATACATTTAATAAAATTGGTTAATTACGCTCCCCAAATTAAAGAAGGCACGACAAATATTTTCACAAATTTACATTTAGTTTTGTAATTTGCCTATCAACACGCAACTTACACTGTTTACACCGTTAACATCAAGTAATGTTGACTGACAAATAACAATGAACATAGAGCAAATACGACAAAGGAAGATAACGGATTTTATAGGCACCGACATAAAGCTCGAATATTTACCTTTACCAGCACACCCACGCATTATATGAAAATATTGAACCCAACTATGAAATTTGCGCGCATTAAGATTGTATAATGGGTATGTCTATAACTAAGATTGAAATGCATGCCCAAGAGACACTTGCATCTACATCAATCAATTATAACTGTAAACATTTATGCTGGTACAAATCGTTTTAGGCAATTTATTAATGAATTACTAAATAACTGAGTGCAAAAATCATAATTTTGCCAAACAGCAGCACCCTGCCTCCCTTTGAAGTGTAGCTACTTGCGTGGCGTCAATAACCTAACAGCACATAGAAATTTTGGTTTTAATTACCACACCGCCAACAATAAAATCACACTGGCTGCTCTCAAAGTGTACATATGTATATACATACATATATATATATACATTTATTTGCCAGCATTTAAATACTAATTAATTAGAATTAATTATTTGCACTTTTGTGTAAATAATGAAATAACACGAAATTGAAAACGCGCTTTCGCTATTAATTTGTACAAAAGTGTTGTATGAATTATTCAAAGCACACACACACACACGCGCGCATTTGATAATGCGGGCGCATATTCACCACGCCCCCTTTAGCTGTTTACACAACAACAAAAACAACCATATATATACGTGCATTCGTACAATACAATTTACATTCAATACGGTATTTATAACGGTATTTCCCGGCTGCCATCTCTCGCAGGTTATGGTCACGTCCGCCGGTTTGCTCGTCGTCAATCAACGCTTAAACAGCTATAACCCAGTGTGCTCAAGTTGATTCCGATTTGTACACGCTCCACTATATATACATACATATAAGTATATGTAGATGGTGCGCCACTGGGGCGTATGAGTAACACGAACGCGATTTGATTGCGCATTCATTCATGTCGAAATGTGTTGCCACTAAAATGCAATTAAATCCAGACGAACGAACTATACTTATGAGGTGTTCGCAAGTGTTAACCAGCGCGCTGATCTCATGTTTGCACAGTCGTAATTATCACATTGTATTATTATACAATACGCATGTATACGTGCAGTTACATTAGGACAGGGTAATCGGGTGTATCAAAGGGCAAACAAATTCAAAATAACCCGTCAAGTTGTTTCAGTTAATAGCGAAATTATAATTAGTGAGATATTACCACTCTTATGTATAATATTTTTAACAAGATTCACGCTAAAACAGTATTTGCACTTTCGGGAGATCAGAGAGAGAGAGAGAGAGTAAGACTTAGAGAGAAATAGAGAGGGAGACAAATAGAATTTAAGCTGGCAATATAGCCTCGCTGTAGTATAAATGAAAATAGCGTATAGAAATGAAAATAACATAGAAATATATAATACATTTGTTTAATAAGTAAATTGGTTAAGTACCAGGAACAAGGACATTTAAATTTTTTACAGGATATTGTTATTGGCTTAAGCACTTGAGAGACCCAACCATTATATAATTTACATTTCCATCATACGCTTTGTTAAAAACTCGTGACAAGTGCGATAAAAACTTTCTACGCCCGCCGCTTTTAATTGGCCAATAAATAATTTGCAAACCAGCAGACAGGCCGTAATTTTCCAAACTTTGCGCGACTCGCCAACTTTTTCCTAACATATCCTCGTGATACTGTTTTTTGTAAGGCATTTCTACGATGTTTTAATATATTCACACCTCATTTTGAATGTAGCAAAATAATAATATAATGCCACGGCAGCGCTGAACCGCTCCGCCCTCCACAGCGCTTTCTCCAGGTTTGTTTTTTTGTATTTATCGCATTGATGATATTTCAATTTTAACCCGTTGGCAGCAATAGGAATGCAATGAAAACATTGTTTATTGCATATGGCAATTGTGTAAATAAACCAACTGTTATAATTGCAGCAACGAATCAAAAGCAATCAAAACACGAAAGCATAAAAAGATGCAATTGAAATATTATCCTTTTCATGGAAAAAGTTAAACTTATGTATATTTGATATTGCTAAGCGGTGTTCAATATTGTAACTTTTTATCATATGGTTATTTTTTTACGACAATGAATCTAATTCTTCAATTTTTATTTCCTGCAAACATATTGGTGCACAAATACAAACAATGTCCAATAAATCGGGCGATAGGCGAGTTCGAATTTTTCGGTGTTGTTCAATTAAGACACCGGGTCAACGAGCACTTCAGCAATCAATTTACTCGAAGGGATCGCATATATGAAAGAATTTATGTAGATCCAAGGCAAAGATGGATGGTCATAAATCAAGAGCAGCATATGACGCTCAGTTACGATCCAACAATCAAATATGCTTCAATGCTTTGAAATTACAAACGCGAAGTGGCAGAATCGCATTGCATCAACGTCTTTGGTGCTTCTTTGGCCTGTAGAGAATTCGACAAATCACTTACGAAAGATTTTGGTCAACAAAAATAGTGTTACATTAACACAAGATAGTTTATGCAAATATAAATTCCACAAGCTTCACAACTTGGAAAGTGTAGCAGTAGTTAGCACACTTTTTTTGATAGTGCAAAACTATTCGTGATCTAATATTAAAGCACACATGCAGACGTAGAAAGAAATAAAAAGTGTTTTACAATAATTGTGGGTTCCCCTTTTGTAATGTTAACAAATCAATTTTGAAGCATACATAAATTGATATGTCAACTTACATTATAGGTAATTATCTGTGGTAAAGTTAATGATGTGAATGATTGATACGAGCGAAAAAGCGTAAATATTATGATGGGCGTCGATATGATGAAGTGTTGAACATTAAGACATTGAATGATGTAGTTACAAAGTTCGCGTCTATGTGTATATGCTTATAGACATGAGCAAAGTTTTAACGTTAAGCGCAGATGGCGATGATTGTAAACACTGAAATGAGTACCGAATGAAATCAGCAGCAACGAACTGGAAAATCCATCAACATTTATTGATAACTTTTGTCAGCTTTAGAAAGCTCAAACTGGCGCTATAAAACTGAGCACATAAAAAGAGCCGATAAACCAACAACATATACTATATGTGTACATATACAAGCGTGCATACATAAATATAAAATGTTTAATGTTATTCGTGCTAGTAGTGCAATAAGTCACGTGAGGACTGCGCAAACAAAAACGCATTTGCACAGCTGTTCCGTCCCCAAGCGCACATTTGCGAAATAAGCATTAAAAAAGAGCATTTAAATTAAACCGCAATTAGAAGCTTAGCGTCACTAAGCACACACAATTCGTGCGTTCAGCGACCTTAATTTCGAAAAAATAACCAAAAAAATACTCAACCTTGCAATGACCTCTTTATTAAATTCACACTATCAAATTAGCAGCAAATATTTTTCGTTGACATACAAACTAAAATAATAATAATACGAGTACATAGTCAAAACGTCGAAGATAGACTGTGCAAAGGAATGATTAAATAACTCAATTTTATAATTGCCCATGTGAATTATTCTGTTAAACCAACATCGAAAACTAATGCTAAAATTAAAACAACAATAAACGATAACAAAGCGATACAAACGCGACGCGAGCAAAAAACAAGTTCAGCTGGTATTCCCCTAAAGATAAGCAAACAAACGGCTAAACAACAGACAATTTTATCGCAAAAATCACACTGAAATGCAAAAAATAACATATTTAGTGTTGAAATGGGATTTTAATGATTGTACTAAGCAATAGCAGCAATAAAATAAATATATATTGTATAGTTAATTAAAAACACGAAAGTAAAATAAATAAACACTGTAATTAATTGAATTACCAATATATAAAAACAGCATCAGAATTAAATAACGGAAATAGGGAGCCCGAAATTATGACAGGTATTTCACCCTTACTTTTTTTTTTTTTTAACCGTTATTTATTTTAGAATAATTTTTAGCATTAAATTATTTGTTTGTATTTATTTTCAATAGTGTTGAAACAGTTGCAAAAATATTGAATTCAAATTCAACTCCCGCACAAATGAGAAGAGCAAATAAACATGTGATGCCTGGTAGATTCGGTCAGATTCCGAATGTAATAATCTACATTCTTCACAATTACTTTAGTTCTCTAACTAGCCCCTCAGAAAACACACACTTGAAACAACTTTAATAGGTTTAAGCTCTCTGCGTTTGCAAGTAGATTTTTTTTTATTTATTCTTACTTTGAGGGTAGTGTAGTGAATTGAAAATGCAAAATATTAAAATATATTTGTAGAAATTCGAAGCTGCAGTAATAACGTCGTTTAAAGATATCAATGATTCAAGAAGTACGGGCTAAAAAAACACCAAGTAAGTCCCAGTGACAGCTTAACTTTTACATGGTATTCTCTCTTCTCTTATGTCTCCACTCACTGACTACCTTAATCATGCTGAGGCACACGGTAGATTTCATTAACTTCTTAATTCTTGATTCATGCCCACATACATACATATGTACACTTAGCATACTCACGAAACGCATAGCCACCGCTTTGGGTGACAGCTCGGGCTTGCGAGCGCTGCCTTCAGAAACTGAAAAACTGGCGCGGCATACGGAAGTGTAAATATTGAATAGCGCTGACGATCGCAACAAAGAGAAGCAAATGAAAATAATTTGCGTAAATTGCAATGAATTATATCGAAAGTGTAAACAAATAAAGAGAGTGAACTTGAAAAGCAAACAGCAAAAAAAAAACAAATTTTTATTATCTGCCAAATTTTGTGCATGATTAAATGAGTTTCAAAAAAAATTGCGAAAGTTTATTTGGCTATTTTGCTTCCCACCGGTTATGTGTTTCAATTGGCGTTTGGCGATTTTGGCGATAATGTCCATAAATAACGAAGCAGGTGCGTAGTGACTGACGCTGCCGAAAAGGCAGGCGCTCTCAAAAAAAAAGTGAGAAGTTTTAAAAATATATGGACATAAGCGAATTGTCAAAAATCATTGACGTTCATTTTATAAAATATGTAAAAAAAAAAAAGCCAACTAGTTTGCTATTACTAACGCCACGATTAAGCTGCTCAATCGACTGAATCAATTATTAAATAGCAAGTTGAAATTTCACATATCGAGTTATTAGTTTCACACCTTGCTATTTTGTGATTTCATTAAAAAAAAGTTTAATACAACAAAAATTCAATTTCAGTGATTTGCCAGTACGCTAGTATTTATTCATACTGCATTAGGGATGTTAAAACTTTACAGATATTTAATTTGAATTCTGCGAAGGTTTTTTTCAAACTATGAGGATATTGAATTATATGGAGCTTATTCAAATCATTAAAACCTTAGCTCAAACTTAAATAACTTACGAAACGGTATATCTGGATATGCGGTTGTCCGACTTACTTTAACGCGAACATACCAGACAATTAGTAAGTTGCATTTGTCATTCGTAATAGCGTTAAATACCATACAACTGAAACTTCCTTCAAATTTAAAGCTTCCTTTGGTTTTTATTGTACATAATTATGTTTGATAGATAGTTTTGTGTTAATTAAAGCCTACATGTTCCGCCCTATTCTTATTCATTAATAACGAAACGATGTGAATAATCAACAAGCAAGGCGGGATCAACAGGGCCTCGAACGCCGCCGCATTTTAAAACTCTCCCAAAACGAAATTAAAAATATTTGTCCTGACTATCACAACCAACTTAGCTCTAGCCTGCTTTATTAGCTTTCTAATTATATATAACAAAAATATTTTAAAATATTCACTTTAAAGTGAATCTCTTATATTGATCGTGCTAATTTCTGAACACAGGTGAATTTTAATTCTGTGCTCGAGAAGTTCTGATAAAATAAGCGAAAGTTAACCAGAGGTTTAAATTAGTTATAGCTGATTTAGTTCAGTAATTTTATTAATATGATAGGAACACTGTTGACGTTATATTGGAAATGGGCGTGGTTAATTTTTAATATTTCTGGCGCACTTTTTGAACTTTCGAGCATAACGTTATATGGGCGTTAGGAGTCTCTCAAATATGCTTCTGTCATTGTGTGACAGCTATTGGTAAGTAAGGACGTCAGCTCATTCTAATCATAAATAATTGATAAAAAAAACTTCTATATATGTTATATACCGATAGTTAGATGTTCAAAACTCCTATACGCTGTACAGCATGCAGCTGTAGTATAAACAAATCCTTTTTTACCATATATATGTACATATGTACTACATTTAAATGGAGTTCATAAATCGTAAATGTTTCTATGCATGTGCGCCACTCAATTCGCATTAATCACGCTATTGGAATTTGCTACGGTGCAGCGACATTTAATTATAATGATATAAATCAAATGAAATTGGATTTTGCCGATTCAGAACCGAAAACACGTAACGCGATAAACATATGTATGTATGTAACACATTAACGGTACAAACAAATATTGAATATGTTACGCCAACACGAATTAATTTTAAACGATTATGGGGATTGCTTGTCGCCAGTGTTGCCATCGTCGATATTCTTTAACTATTTTTCATCTTTTAGCAAACAAAATTTTGAAAAAAAACCAACTTTTTTGCCAGTATTTTAACTACATAAATAACTAAAAGAAATATACATACATATTTGCTTTACTCTATTTGGTACTTTTCAAACCCCAACAGCATCTCCCTAATGCTTCGCAACACCTTAGTATCCAGTACGTGACACAGCAAATGCGCTTTATAGCAACAATAATAATAAAGAGTTTGGCTCGAAATACATACTGCTATGTGGAGCCTAGGGACCACTGTAGTTTATTTTATGTTTTTCAATGAGGCAATTTTAATTGAATTTAATTAATTATGACACATTAGACAAAAACATTATGCTAAATAATAGATTTGACAGCAGAATATAGAGTTATGACAGCACAAAGAAAGCGCGAATATATCGAATGCGATATGTATGTATGTTTATACAAGTGAAAGCTGGTTAGCGTCACCAATGGCGAGAAGTTGACGCATGCCATGGAAACAACAAAAATATTTAATATGTATGTATGCACTCATATGATTTTCATAACGGTACTGTACTTTCATTTACATTGTAGCAAGGATTAGTTAATGCGAGCAAAGCCGAATTGTCATTTTAATTAAAACGTTTTATACTCGGCAGTGCAAAAATGGCTACAGTCGTGAGTAATGCATGTGAAAATCATTAAAATATAATCAATTGAGTAATTTTGCTTTTAGAAAGTAATTTTTTACTGCGATATGCTAAAAATGCATATTATAAAAAATAAAGCAATCAATTTGCAACACATTTTTGTTACATCGTTAAATGGCTTTGTTTTAACGTTTATGTATTTTTTTGCTGTTGTTACTATGTGTGTATGCGTTTCAATTAAAGAATTAAATACAGCATATTAGGCGAAAAAACGTGCGCGTGAGAGTTGCAATCTGCATTTGACAATGCACACATACAAGTATAAATGTAATATAATATATACATATGTATAATAAAAATATCAACTAGCGACAAAGTGCTAAAAACTTAAATACTTTATGTTACAATTTATATTAGCAAACTCTCTTTTATAGACACATATCTATCGAATATATTAAACAGCAAATTAAATGCTCAGCAATATTTTAAAGTTAACTTTAACGCTTACATATACTCTCTCACGCCACGACTGCAATAAATCAATCAGCCCGAATACATAATTTTGTAATTCTGCAATATTTTCTTATATCTCAATATGCTGGCAAATACACGGAAATATACACATATGTTGCATGCATTTCCGAATTCAAAATCAAATGTCTAAACGCACTTATGAATACGATTTCCGCTTATTTCATTTCTCATCTCTTCTCATTGCACAGGCTTCGGGCAACAGATGCCGGCGACACACACGCAAATTATATCACGCGCCAACTGGGGAGCGCGTCCGTCAACGCTCGTCGAACATTTTAACGGGCCAGCGCCATATGTCATCATTCATCATTCGTATATGCCCAGCGCCTGTTACACCGCCGCCGATTGCATTAAGGCGATGCGCTCCATGCAGGACTACCATCAGTTGCAACGTGGCTGGAACGACATTGGCTATAGTTTTGCGATCGGGGGCGATGGCATGATTTATGTTGGACGTGGTTTTAACGTAATTGGTGCGCATGCGCCTAAATACAATGACCGAAGTGTTGGCATCTGCATGATTGGCGATTGGCGAAGTGAGTATGTCAAGCGGTCACACGCCGTGATTTATGTGTTAGCAAAGCTAAATGAAAAATTTCTATGATTTTGTTTATAGCTGAGCTGCCCCCACCACAAATGCTCGCAGCGGCCAAATCACTGATTGAATTCGGCCTGACAAAGGGTTATATCCATTCAGAATACAAATTGCTCGCGCATAGGCAAGTGCGTAACACCGAATGTCCGGGACAGCGACTGTACGAAGAGATTACGACGTGGCCGCATTTTGCACCCAAGCCCCAGTCTACAGAGAATGAAATTGCCAAGTGAGTGCCCGAAATGGCGAGCGTTGTCTTCCCACACTCGATATCGATTATGTCGATCAACGCTTAGCATCCCTTAGGGGGTTGCACTTCTAAAGAGTTCGCTATTAATTATAATTATATTCTAAGTAGACAACTGTTGTTCAAAGCATAGCAAATTCACCTAACGGTTTCTCAACCAATTTTTATTAGTTCTAAATTAAAAAAAGATTAGAAAAAATAAGAAAAGATCGGAAAGAATCTTATTCATAAGTCTATAAGCTCTCTCATAGCATCCTTCACAAGCCATAGACATCACCTTGACAGTGATTAGTCAATTATTTTACTGATTCTACCGCTATCATACTTATGTGTCTCTCAACATGATTTGGTCTCTACACCTTTTAAATGTTTAAATAGGGTTGTATAGACAAAGCTTGTAAGTTAGAGTAATTATGTAAATAAAGAGCATGCAAAGTATAATAAACAAATCAAAAATGCAAATAAAACAGAATGCACAAAAACAACCAAGGTTATTTTACTTACGCTGTCGTGTTCGACGTTAAACTTTTTCTTTTCTCCCACTTACCGAATTAAGTAGCGAACAATGGGACCAAATTGGAAGCTATTTAAAGCTTCAGATTATGGTAATCCGGAACACGACTAGTTTGGGTACCAGATCATAGCGGAATCTCAGGCAACTGTAAAGATGATTAGTAGCAAGGAAGATCACCAAAACCTTGCCGTCGTTGAAGTAGAAACGGATTGATTATTCGACAGTTAGGCGTGGCGGGAACTTGACAAGCGCTGGGCAACTATCGGTACCCGTGCGATCGCAAGACCTTCCTGGCCCTAAATAAATCGCAAGTTTTCTCTAATTGTAGCGCTTTAACTGACAAATATAATGATCAGATCAAAAATCTTACCGTATGCCTATTGCAGAAGCTGCTTGAAAGAAGACGAGGTAGAAACGTTATAACACTTTCTTCTCTTTGCGAGATCAAGGCTAAGCCACTTTGGATCTCACACCTTTAGACATCCAGCTGAACTGGCAAGCATAGAAATTAAACGTCTAAGCAGATTTGTAATGAGTGTGTCTACTTAATAAACGAGCTTTGTTATTTCTACAGTTATTCTAATGCAATGTTCAATGTGGGCTCACCACTGTGTCAAAGTCTATTGGAGTAAAGGTTATTAACATTTTGTACTTTATCTTGTTACGCACAACTTTCAATATTTTACACGTAGATAATGCTAAACTTTTTGGCGCAAGGTGTTTGGTAGCAGCTGCAGACAGGGCTTAATAAAAAAATAACCACAAAAAAATACCAAAAATTAGAAAGAGTAGCAATACCATGGCATTTCAGAAGCCAACGGTTTAGCAATGAAAAATCAAGAAAACTCTGTTAACATTTTAAGTGTTAAATAAAAAAACAAGCAACGAGGAGCTACAGCAAACATTTACTTCGTCCACTTTTTCTACTAAAACATCAATCCAATGCAAGCCCACAGAATGCCACATATTGTACTGAATGCTATGACGAAACTTTTGCAGTTGCCAAACAATATATGTATGCGCACACATTTCTACGAACGCAGCAAATGTTGAAGTGCACACGGGGGCGTATGAGTAACCACGCAGCGAGAATCCAATGGGGTCACTACACTGCAACATACTTCGGCGGTGTGATACTAGTCTTGTTCTGGCGCATGGAAAACTTGCCGTAATTACCATATGTGGCAAGGTGATATTTGCATATTATTTGCAAATTTTGAAAAAATTTAATAAATAATAAAAACAAATTGGATTTTATAGTTGGCTGAAAAAATTTAAAGCTTGCTGCGTTGCAAAACAAAGTAGTAAATTTGCGCTTCAATGGGAGCGTGTTCAGCTGCTGGGTGCATACTACACACTATGCAAAATTATACTCGTTTGTATGTACATATGTATATGTATGTATGTATGTATTTAAGAACCTTGTTATATGCAAAGATAAATATTTTTGTTCACTGTGCAACTTTTGCATGTAAAATATGTACTTTCGCTATTTTATTTCAACTTTTGTTTTGAAAATTTTCAAGTTAAACACGACATTGCCTCTTTTTTTGCTACGCACTCTGCGCGACTAAAGCTTGTTGATAACAAGAGTTGAGACGACATTTTATGCTGGATGTGCAAAAATTATTCTGCTCCAGATTTTAAGAAATTCCCATTTATTTCGTTTTTACTTTTGGCTGCTTTTATTTTCTACTTTTCATGTACTATGAATTGAGTGATGCACTGGATGCAGTACAGCTGGTTTTCCTTACGTCTTCAGCCCAAAGAGAATCTGTTGTTACGCAGTATCACCAAATGGTTTGCAAATAATTTTACTATCAGAAAATATTTTCCGATATATCTACTTGTACATATGTATAAAATAGTTAAATAAAACATTTAATATACGCAGACAATTTTATAAAATATTAAAAAACTTCATTCACTTAAAATTGAAAACGTTTTTATTGTGAGTTCGGCAGATGATGCAAAATACCAATAAGAAAAGTGTACGAGGTAAAATTTAAGTTTTCAAATTTTCTTAGTTGGTCCAACGTTTGCCCCTGGTACATTTGCAATTTTTCCGAAATAGTTATGTGGTTATACCATTGTAATTGGCAATTTCGCAATTTCTTGTTACTACAGAATATGAGAAAAAAATATTTAGCGCTACAGCTTTGACATTTTTACTATGTTTGTTCTTTGCACTTTATTTTACAATTGAAACTTAATGCTGAAGATGTAGCGCTCTTCTCAAGGGCGCTGCGAAAACTTTTAATGCGGCCTAGAATAAAGCACATAAACTACGTAAGTGCCAACTATATGCTTGGTGAGTATGTGTGCTGGAAAATTCTTAAAATTCTTTCAGCGCCTAGAAGGCCTAAACAAATACGTTGAGCGAATTTCAGCATAAAGCAATAGTGAAAAATGCGCAGTGCCAGCGATGTAGATACAGTGCGTTCAGCCAACGGCAGCACAAGGCGAGTGAGAGATATTTCAATAGCATACTTTTCGGCATTCATGCTATGCATGTGTGATGCCACCTGTTGTAATAAAAATACAAATTTCTAGCATAGCATATTCCATTTGCAACCGACTAAAGCAAAAAATAACAAAACAGAAAAAACTCAATTAATATAACTCATAATATTTTCGATGAATTAAAACGGAAGCACATTATAACTTAAATAAGCAGGGTTTAGCACTTGCGTCGCTAAGCGTGATATTATTAATTTTTAATATGTTTTTCTCTAAAAAATAACTCTCCGCAACGAATGCACATTTCCTCTGCTCTACTGCATCTACTTAAAAGCATGTCTCTGGCACAAATATTCAGCATGCCTTGTCTCCGCCAACTCAATGCCTTGAGTTTAGAAAAATATGAGCATTCGCCCAAAAGCATACTGTTAACGACTCGCGAGCGGAAGTTGAACGCTTCCATTTTTCCATTAAATTCAACTTCTCTCTTCAGTGCATCGATGTGCAAGCGAGCAAGTTTAGGAAAACTGAAACTGAACTGAGGAAAGCGGGCGGGCATACGCGATAGCTTTTTGGATAACCGCGTGTACATAGTAACAACAAAAGCAACTTTAAATAATCAGAAAACTATATTGTTGCCCTAAAGGCTGTTATAATTTCATAATATTTCACAAAGTATACGCCATCAAACTGTGAAAATGGCGTGGCAACAAATACGCAACGGAGTGGGCGTAGCTATGAACGGGTGCAGAGGGAAGAGACGGTGGTCAAAAAGAGCTTGTGCTCTGCGAAATGCAACGCACTTAACATTTTACGCTTAACAAGTATGCAGAGAGAGATGAAGAGGGGTTCCATATTGAAGAGGGCAAACGAATAGCGTATTAGCGTCACTAAATATCAGCCCAAATAGGACGCGTGTGGCTAAGCAACGGGAAAAGGTGCAGTAGCGGATTTTAGAACTGCGCAATTTCCCACTGCCACTTGGTGGTTACGCCAACGGACCAACTTCCGTACCAACCAAGAGATGAGTGGATGACAGGGGGAGCGCTAAAAGCTGTGCTGCGCGCTCCAAATGTAAGCAAATTTTAATAGAAAAAGTTTGCGCGAAATCAACAGAAAAAATATTGCGACACACAGTCACACAAGCACGCGACGCTAAAAACAACAAACATATTTCTAATGTTATAAAAATCAGGGTAACTAACCAAAGCTTTGCAGTTCTTTTTTTCGCACACACAAATTCTTTACGTGTATGTTAGCAGCAAAGTAGCAAAAATTTTGGTTTTTTTTTAGGAAATTTGCGGTGGTTGCTGAAAAATTTTAATATCAAACCTTTTTTGTTAGTTTCCATGAGCAATATAACGGCACAACAATTGGTATCGGTTTGTATGTTAATTATTTATTTACTGGTATATTTATATCTAGATACGCTGGCAATAAACGCTTCCGGCTTTAGTAAAGCTACAGTCAACGCAAGTGTATATATAAATGGCATTTCAATTCAAATAAATTCAAACCGAACGGAAATGAAAAACATAGCAGTAGATAAAATATTGGAGTGGAATAACGGAGAAGTGGCTGAAGTATGGTATAATAGTAATGTGAAAATACAAATCATCTGTAGAACAGGAATCGAAAAATGGTCAGCACTTTTATGAGAGCCGATTGCAACAGTATTTAGTATACTAAATATTGATATTTTATTCCGCTTCAAACATTCTTTCTGCTCTTAAATTTAACGAAACTACTTTAATGGCGCCAAAATCGAAAACTAAAATATATAATAATATTATATATATCAAAAATATTAAAGTACAAACCTAAAATTTCTCAAAAACGGTTAATATACATATGTAGTCAGGCAGTAGTCGGCTAAAAACTTTCGAAATCAATATGAAGATGATGAAGAAACGGAGCTTCTCTGAAAATACCATTTAAATTTCTTGTTTTCATAGTAATTTCAAATTACCAAATGCATTTCATAACAATATTATATGTATATGCTACATGTTACTTGTATTAACACCGCAAATGGTCTGCTGTAACTTATAATAAAGCATGCATTTCAAATTGTAGCCAGCCGGAAACGCCGTTTATTATTATGTGCACCTTTTTCGCTGTTCGGTGAAACACTAAAACCGCAGCGTATTTTTATGTAAATGCTGTGGTTGCACAGATTGTTTATATTTTGTTTCTGCCACATTGGATACTGAGGTGTACGAAATATACACTGTTATTCTCCTTTTTTGCGTGCTTAGTATGTAGTTTCATTTCACCGCTATTGTTGCAGCATTCTCACTTTGCCAACATCAACATCCGCACGTTTAACCGTTATAATTAATAAATAAATATACATCTCTCGGCGTTGTTTTTAGATTTTTGTAATATTTTAATGTAATTATGTAAACTTAAAATATGCGGATCGCAGACTTGAGCCATTTTCAATTGACCAAAAGAACAACAAACAAAAAATGTTGATTCATCGGCTAATTTGAAATGCAGAAAGTAGTTTTGAGCATGAGCTTAATATTTACAAATCCTTTTTTGTACGGAAGGATAAAAGGTTTTTTCACCTTATGGTAGAAAATTGGCTTCAGTACCCACTCAGTTCTATGGGAAACAGCAGGTTATTTTTGCAACGCTAAAGTACCAATGTAAATGGCTGAGCGAAAAAGTGAATATTTTTGAGAAAAGTAAATAAAAATAACGAGTGAAACAAATGCAAACGAGTATCGCTGACTGTACCAGCGTGAGTATACGTTATTCGTGTGAAATACAAAAAAAAAAAAAAAAACAATAAGGAAGGACAAATTTCGGGTGTAACCGAACATTTTACACTCTTGCAACTTGCCAGAATCAAAGTGAAATGCCCTGTGTGTAGCAAAAATTTATATTAAGCTAGAAAAACCGTTAACTTCAGCTGCACCGAAGCTTTAATACGTATGGCAGCTTATATGCTATAGTGCACCGATCTGAACAATATATTCGTAGATTGTAGTGTTGCCTTGAACTATGCCAAATTTCGTGGAGATATCTTGTACATACAAGGAATTGATTTTGACCGATCACAATATAACTGTAATAGCAGGTCGATAATTTGTTTCTATCTGATAATAAGAACAAAATACAAAATTGTAATATACATTAAACTCAATAAGGGGGCGGCCACGCGTTTTTTTTACAAGTGTTTTAGCCCAGAGGAGCCTCTCATTAGTTCCATTCGTTGCACCAAATTAGTTTTCTATCTTGATTTGCGGTTAAGTTATGACAATTTATAGGTTTTCGATTATTGGCGTTTGTGGGCGTGGCAGTTTTACAATACCAAACTCCTTATGGTGGCAAAGAACATGTGTACCAAGTTTTGTGAAAATAGCTTAAGTTTTACTCAAGTTACAGCGGTTTGACAGTGACCCGGATATCAACTCATCTCGTCATGCTGCTCATGTATATACATATATATATATATAAATTTTATGTATACAAGTATATTGAAAATAATCCTATATCTATCTCAATTAGTTTAAGGTGATACAAACAACCGTTAGGTGAACAAAACTATTATACTCTGTAGCAACATGTTATAAAAGCATAACAACGTGCTTAAGCGGAGAAAAATTCAATTTAATTGAGCTTACTCAGTCACATTTGCTTTTATTATTGCAGCCATTTTTATCGTTCGTTATTATCACCCTTTGTGCTTTATTTATTTGTGTCCCTTTAGTGAACGTGCAAAGGGCTTGGAAAAAGAGCGCTGAAGCGCTCCATTCTATTGTTGCTGTGATTTTCAATTGAGCTGTAAAATGCAGTTTGCGGCAATTGTTGGTGCGTTCGCTTTTATTGTCAGCCAATGCTGCAGTTGCCTTACCATGGCAGCCATTGTTGCTGTCATTGATGGCCGTCAATGTTTATTGCCGCTAACATAACAACAGCAATCGCTACTTCATTCATGGTTGTTTTACTATTTGTTGCAGTTGTGTTTGTTGTTATGGTTGTTGTTAGTCACATTGTGACAAATTGAAATAGTGAAGAGTTTTCCGAAATGATTATGTGTTGATAGCGGCAATCAGCTCTACTGTTACGATTGTTTTTGTTATCGATATTTTTTAAGCAAACAAAACTAGCTTTATTGCTATGTTATTCTTTAGGCAACAAGTAATCATTTTGGGTTTGCCTTCTTCGGTTAGCGGTTTGGAATCTGCTATAAAAAGGTGTACATATTTACTTTGTTTATATGTATATATATGTGGTACATACATCCACATACAATATGACATAGCATCCAGTACCCACTGTAACGGTGATTACAGCTTTTGACAGTGTTGAAGTTAAATGCCTTTGCAAAGTAGAACTCAACCTGTCGTTAACTGTTGCTTTCTGAAGCTCAGCGTGATTGAGACTCAGAAAGAAATGCTAGTAAGCATATAACAGCCCTATGTGCGTGAATGTTGCATGTAATGCCTATGTGTGAGATATATTTGCCTTGAAACTGTGACAATATTAGCAATCTGCTATTATTGCTTTAGCTAAGGGTTTGCTTCAATTTTTTTCTTCATTTTTGCTTTCGTGCCATACTTATTTGAAAAGAAAGTGTATGACCAACGCAAGTTGCCAATTCCTCAATATCAAAAGTGAGTGCACTGAGCAACTGGTGTCCACCAAACGCGTTTAACCGAAAGCTCTGCTATCAGACTCTTCTATCAGAACCTAAACAACCCTTAGCCCTTATTGATAGTCAAGCAAGGAACTCTGCCCACTCGAAAAAGTGACCAAATCATTAGCTAGCATTTTTTCTCCCAACGGCAAGCCATCCATGCCACACAACATTAAGCTAATAGCGATCGATTCGCCAACTTATTGCAATTCAGTGGGGCAACACCCGTTGCGTACACGCAGAAGTAAAGCAAATGCGAATATTCGAAAACCCAAAATGAGCACGGAAGGTTTTTTACCTGTCAAACAGTGGCAATGCGATCGCTAAGTGGTAAAGAGCTACGCCGGGCATATTATGTAGTGCAATTAACTTAGAATAAGATGATATTAGTTGAAGACAAGGGCTACGTTTTTAATATAAAAAATAAATTTCCAAATATTTTGTATTTGTGCGAATTTTTGGTAAAAGTTCTTTCAACAAAGGTAGCAGGTAAATTGAAACACATAACCGAGATATTTCTCAGCATCCACCATCAGCATGGATTTCCTGGACGAGTGGTTCTTGTCACAAGGTAAAGGAAACCCCCGCCAACAACTAGATTCGTGCCAAAACAACAACAACAAAAAAAACGAAGCGCAGTTACAATGTTATATTTTGACCTATTTCGATTGGCGTGCGGTAGTGAGTGCTTGTGTGTGGCAATAAGCAGTGTAAACGGCTGGCTGTTAAGTGGCGTTATCGTTTTCAGTTAATATTGAAAGCGCAATCTGAAGCTGCTTAGCTGTCATTTACCCATTAGTTAACGGATTACAGAAATCTTGTGGATGTCCCTCGAAGCACGAGTTAACAATCTGTGCTTGCCGAGAAGTTGCAAGGATTTTCAGCGCAAAATTTCGCAATACTTCTGTGAAAAACGCTCATAAAACTTGCGTAATTTTAATTTACTTCAATTGTTTTTCGCATTTACTTTCTTGATTCTCGCGCGCATATTGATTGTGCAGTTGTAGTATGACGTGCTGTGTTTGCATTTCTCTTTCAGCTTTTTAATTTATTTTTCATTACTCAACCAAGTTCGTTCTTTCATTCGACGTGTTGACATTGCGCGAAAAATTCCCTTTGAAATCATTTAATTTAGTCTCGGGCACTTTTTTATTAATTACGCGCTCTTGACATTTCATAAAGTTTCACATTTTCCAAGAATACGGAAAAATATTCAAGTGCTGCAACTTTGCACATCTGCTTAAGCCGATAAAAATGCTGATGCTGTTTATACACAGCGGGTCGTGTAAAAGTTTGTTAGCATTGCTTTGAATAGATTATGTGATTGCCTCTAAGGGACTTTGAAGTAAATACATAGCTCATCAAATAAACATTTGCACAGAAAGTGAAGAAGCCTAGCGCAGATATCCCAAAATGGATGGCTTTTATGTGAGCATACGCAAGCGTTATATATCACAAATGGATATCGATTGTCCCTATCACATAGAAATCCAGTGTAAGTAATGCAGAGTGAATGGAGTGTGATGCTGCCACCTTTTATAATATTTACAAAATGAAACGTCTTGTGCCACATTGCCCATACTTAGTTCAATAAACATTTATAATTAAAACGAAGAAGTATTAATAATTATTGCAGGAATGAAAAGGTTTATTAAAAGCTTACAGTATCGTACTATGAAGTGCAAGAGCGAGTAAGCTTTTAAGCGATACGCTTTCCACTTAAACCAGTTTTCGTTTTACTATTTGGAAAGTTTTGCAGTAAACCATGGAGAACCTTAGCTTTATTTAGATTAAGTTAGATGGCTGATTCGCCAAGTTGACAGAGGGATCACATTCAGACCGCTATATACAGTCGTTTATTAAGACAAATAAAAAAATCCAGTAGTTGGGTATTAACTCTCGACATTTTTTATTTTGTATTTTATTTTTTATAAATTATTCTTTATTTCTATAGCCGCAATTTATTTCTGAGCACAAGATCATGTTTCAAATTATTCATCTCCACAGCGTCTCTTTAAGAAATTCTAAAACACATTCACTTTGACAAGTAAGATCACGTGATATCTCCTGGCATGTTTGTGTATATATTATATTATGGTATCCAACCTATGTACTATGTTATTGATTACAAGTGGCGGTGTAGCATCTGTAAGTAAAAAATTTACCCTGGTCACCTACAATTTTCCTCCCAGTGAGTTTGGTATAAATTTCCAAGCCGGCGTTATTAGTATTATATTATATATTGAGTATATTGGGACAAGAACAACATTTGAACACCCACTTTTAACATTCATTGGGTGAGTCCAAAAGAGTTTTTTTTTCACAAATAGAAAGCAAACTCAAATTGCAATAAGCTAATTTTGAAATTATCTCAATATCAGCAAATGTACACTGAACGATTGAGCAGATTGGAATAAGTTTCTGAATATTACGATACACTCACTCATTCGTACACGCTTTTGACAAATTTAGGCGCATAACAGATTCGAAAATCCACAATTTTCAGTTCAACGGAAGCGTTGGCTAGCTGTCTAACGGAAAAATAGTGATCGTGCTTAATTTTTAGGTTGCAGTAAAAAAAAATTGTTCTCAGTTTCAAAACAGAAAATTTACAAAATTTTTGGTGGAGTGCACATTATTCGGAAAATTTCGAAATTTCAAAAAAAAAAAGATTGAAACTAAACTTCTAGATGCATATAAAAATAAAAAATGCAAAATTATAATTATATTTTCAAGTCGTTTTACAAATTTCGTCCCTTCTTAGCGCAGCAGCTCAAAGTGAAAAATATATATATGTATGTATGTACATACAAGTGGAAGCGTTGAGATATTTTTGATGGAATACGTTGTAGAAATTCACACGAAACGTTTAAATATAGCGATGATAGCGCTGGCTGAGGCAAAATCATTGGTCATTTAGTATAATTGAATAATGCAATAAGAACAGCGCTGCAGATATTGCAAGTTTACGTATTATTTCTAAATGCAACTTTGCAAAGCGATTCAAATTAATGAGCCATCAATTTTGCATATATTTCAAGCGAGTAGTGAAATCGGAGGGACGAGCGGAGCGAATGACGAACAACAACGCAGAAAAGCAAATCGTAAAAATCTAAGAAATTAATCAGATAGACACAAGGGAAAGTGGCGGCATAGAGCAGCAACGAATTCAATTTTCGAACACTTAGTGCCGTTTCAGACAGGGATGCAAAAGAGTCTGACGTTTTTCAAATTTTCTTTTGGTGTCGCTCTGGGCATTCACACGGTCAAAAAGAGTCCAGCAACTCGAGTCTAGTTTTTCTGCATTCCTTTTCACAAAATGTTCGTAAATATTTGTGCGGTTCGACTGCGCAACACCGCGCAACACTGCGTGCTGCGTATTTCATTTGTATGTTGAGATGATGGTCACACATTTTGCTTGCAATGAATTACCATGAATATGGTAGAACAATATGCATAGTACAAGTACCTACCCGCTAAATAGTTTCAAAAAAATACTAAAGACGGGAATTCCCTAATCCACAAGAATGTATTGAATATCCGCAACTAATATTTTCAAGGCCAAATTTATAATAGCAATTTCCTAATCTTTAAGTATTAAAAACTCATAATTTCTTTACTCCATAATCTATATCTTAATTTTCTCCTTATTTACAATTTGTCATAATATTTCTATTATTCTATGCATACGTATTTGCATATTACATACAAAAATAGATAACAGAACTCAAATTTGCGATCGAATTCATTTGAAACCGAGCGCTCTTGCAACCATTCAAAGAATTTGAAAGTGAAAAGGAATGCTGAAAAGGGTAGCAGCGAGCTGTTACGAACAAGAACACAAAGCGTGCCACCCGAACACGAGTGGCACGGTCCCTTCGTCTTTCCTCGTCATCCCCTCACCCACAATAAACTGGTATGAGACTCTTTTGCGTCCCAATGTGAAACGGCACTTAGAGAAAGCCAACAAAGCGAAATAAACAATTCGCTTTCGCAGCATTTTCACAATCTAGCCTGTTTTTTTTTTGTTTTTTTTTTGCTTTTGGTTTTCATCAGCAACGCCCCCACATGGTCTTATTTTTATACAAATTCAAGAAATAACAACAATAACGGAATATAATTAAAAGCTGCTTGGTCCATCTCTTTGTGGCTACATTCTTATAAATTTACAAATAATATGTAAATACATTTGAGGATACAAATACAAACTTATGTTTATACATGCATATGTATAGTATGTTTAAATATATGAAATGTGTGTATGTGTGTTTATCAGAAGAGAAGAAAGTGCAAAAGCAAGCGATTGAGATCAACAAAAAGCAAGAATATTTTCACAAAAGCGCAAAATCATATTCGTGAGGCAAAAGGCGAAAGCGAATTGAGAGAGAAACGTAAATGGAAACAGAAATAGAAGTTCCTTAAAATTCAGCAATTGAAGAAATGCGTGAAAATGTGTGGAAAATATTGGAAAACTGGCAAAGCAGATACAACAACCACAATTAGCATGGCCGTGTACAACAACAACAACTGAATATTTGGCCTTTGCTAAAAGGCCCACAGGCAGGGCAACGAGTGGCGCGCGATGATGGCCACTGCTGAAGTGCAAAGTAAACCTTTTCAACGTTTTGAAGCTTCTGCTGACTTTTCTCTACAGTTTTGGCGGAAAATGTTGGCCATTTAATCAAATTATAAATATTTATATGTATATTCAAATGTACGCGCATATATATGTACATCGCATATCATGTACATTTTCAGATTTCAATTATTTTTTCGTGTATGCTATTTTTTGTTGTATATGCTTATATGTTTGTATATATGTAAATATATTTACAGTTAATTGTATTGCCAGAATGTGTTTGCTTGGAGAGATATTTGCCAACTGTAAGGAAATTCAAACATCCTTGTCAACCGAAATGAATTGCTCGGACTGAAGGCCAAAGAATAATAACATAAACAGCTCACGGCATAATGGCAACAACATTCATCCATCTGTAATTTATTTTTTTTCACTTTAGTTTATTTTTTTTTTTTATGATTATATTAAAAGTGACGATGACTTTCGACTGAGCGCTCAATAATATTGGTCAGATTGCGCCCAACCTTTCGAATGGGCGATTATTCCGTTTCATTAGCGTTACATTATTGAAAATCGCTTTCTGCAGCCGTTACTCATTGTTTAAAACTGCTGAATCCACACGAAAATGACGTCGCCTCTTCACAAATATTGTATGCGAGCAAAACAAATGTAGCAACGTCTAAGGTTCACATATAAATGCCACAGCAGCCGCATTGCCGCCATAGCCCCTCACCTCACATGCTAGCATTGTTAGCCTATTTTTAAAGATGAAAATCACCACCGCCAATAGCAGCGGTGGCCGCGCTTTCCACACTCTGAATTATGTACTACAAGTTGCGCCGTATTCCTGCTAGCCTATATATTTTTGCGCTGCTTGGCAAATGTATTTTTGAAGTCCAACGAAATACAATTGTGGATGGATACACACAAGAACGAGCTATTTTCTGAAACAAGTGAAAATTCTCAAACAGCTGTTGCGTTTCGACGGGGCGAGTTCGCGTAAAATTGGTCGTTTTAAAATAATTGTGCACAAATCGAGATATTAACGAATCATCGAATAATTACGAAAATTCTAATATAATAAAAATTATTATTAATCGGACTGTGTGGAATAATTTACTTAAAATTTAATAATTTGCTTTGATTTGTTTGTATAGTTTGTAGAGGTTATAGTGATTGAAGCGACACACAACGCGACTAACTATTACGATATTAGTGAGAGACTTAACGGCAGTTTCGTCATTAGTATTGCCGTAATTGTTTGATAGTGATGTTTTAGAGGCCTTACTCTATTTTTATCACTTTGAAAATCTCATAAGTTGGAAAACACGTGAATCAGTTGAACGCCCGACACAATGCCATTCGTTGCGCCGAAGAGCGCTACCAGCAGTACTACTGGCCGCACCACTTTTCGGCCGCCATGGGTGAAGGAGGATTCGACTGCCAATGCTAAGCCCTCGGTTCCGTGGGCAAAGAAGACAGCTGCCACAACAGGCGATAAAGATAAGGAAAAGGAGAAGGAGAAGGAGAAGGAAAATGGTGAAAAGACGACCTCTACGTTGGCGGCCAAGAAGACTACGACACCAGTAAAAAAAGTAAATGAAACAACAGCGGCTGGCAAAAAGACTGTCGAACCCGTAAAGAAAGCGACAGTGGAGCCGTTGAAAAAGAACGCAGAGCCAACGAAGAAAGTTATTGAGCCAGTTAAACGTGTAGTAGAACCGACTAAGAAAGTAGTTGCACCCGTTAAGAAGGCGCCAGAGCCGCTCGTTGCCAAGAAACCAACAACCACTACGGCAACGAAAACAGCTGCTGCAGCAGTTAAGAAGAAGGAACCAACGCCATCGTCATCGGAAGAAGAGGAGACTGAAGAAGAGGAAGAAGAAGAGACTGAGGAAGAAGAGAGTGAGGAAGAAGAGGAGGAAAGCGAGGAGGATGCGAATGACAAAGATGTGGAAGACCTTGAAGGACTGTCCGATTTAGAATTTTCCGAAAACGAGTTTACACAACCATCCCTACGGTTAGGCGTGAAACTAAAGAAGACACCACAAGTTCAAAAAAAGGAAAATGAAAGTGAGTTAACAAGACGCTTCTCAATTGAAAAACCAAAATTGCGACCAGTCATGGTCAAGCGCGACAAGTCAATGAAAAAAATTGAAGGTGATAGCGACGATGATGAAGACGAAAATGAAGAAGAACGTGAACGTCAGTTACGTTTTAAATTAGAGAAACCGAAATTAAGACATGTCAAACGCGAAGAAAAGCCCTTGCCAAGTAAGAGTACCGAGGATATTATGAAAATAAGACCTGTTTTGAAAAAGGTATCCAAAATCGACGAAATACTCAAAGAGCCCAAAGAAGAGCCCAAACCCGAATTCAAAACTAAACAGTTGCGTAAAGCACCTTCAATCAAACGTGAGCCCAGCATGAAAAACGGTGAGTGTTTGTGCAGACAGTGGGATGTGAAATGGAAAGTGAAAACGAAATAAATACATAGTGTTAAAGCAAAAAAAAACAGAATTAAGTTAATACTAAATAAACCAACAAGCTAACCAATGGAAGTCAGCTTTAGTTTGCAAACGAGACACAATATGGCTTTATTAAAATTTACTAAGTGATGCCTTTTAGCTGAAAAAGCGCATAGAAATGAAGTGAAGGCTTGCCTCAAGTGGCTCCTCTAACCCGGCTGTAATATATCAAACGCTTCATTAACCCTTAGCAAATTCGCAAATGCGTGAGTTTTGTAAGTACAAGTTTTTCAAATCGAACAGGAAGTATGTTGTATAACGTCTTGTCGCCGCTTTGACGTCGTTTTGTGCCATGTGATGTATTAAAATATGTATATTTTTGACCAACATTCGCCTAATTTCGCATTCACCTCATTCCAAAAAGCTTTAGAAACAAAAAAGAATGCTAGAATTTGTAAATCATACGAGAAATCTACAAAAGAGGTCACATCTACATTTACAACTCACGCATCGCATTTCTTCAAGCACTTAATGTGATTGTACCCATGTTCATGTACAAACAACTATAAGCAGACACATTTATAAGGCTCTTCAGTAATTTACAGTGTTTTAATGCTGTTAATACACGTAAATCACTTGCAAAGCCACACATTCGAATTTCTCACAAACAGCTTACCACCCACACTTGTGCGTCTTTCAAGAAAATGTCTGCCATTCCATTTGTATTCTAGACAAGTTAGCGTACTTTAAAAACATTTTGTAACTGTGTAGGTAGGTGTGTGTGTGGGTGTGCGGCTGGTGATGCATGTAAAGTTTTAAAATATATATAGTCAAAGAAATATCCTGTCTAGTAAAATGAAATCCATTATATTCATCACATGGCTTTGGTATCTGTATGTGGCGTTGTATAAGTGTGATTCGCTTAAAAAAACTTCTCAGACAGTTTTGTGATTGCTTGACTCTGTATTGTTTGTTTGTAAAAGATGGACACCAGCAAAGAGAAAATACGCTATACTTTACAGTTTTTCTTCCATAAAGGCGAAAACGCAAGTGCTGATAGTTTAACGTCGATTTTCTTACCCGTTAGCAGCTGCGGGAGCTTGGTTAGACAGTTTTTAATCATTCACCTTTTATTCCGAAACTCGCATCAGGTGATTACTACCTGTTTCTAGGTTTGTAAAAAAATTCGCCTAAAGAAGTTTGCGGAAATCGACATCCCAGTTTATTGGCAATAGCGCCAAAGTGACATTATGAATTTCTCTTCGAAACAAATCAGCGAACAAAACGGTGCATATTTGACCTAAATCTAAGTATGATTGCTCCATCCTCGAGTATGCCAAGAACTTTCGGCGGTAGCATAAATTGGATGAAAAAACTCGCCCGCTCAATCGTCGCGACTTAAAGCTTGAGTATGCACAGTTACATATTTATGACTAATTATAAAAATCAATCAGTTGTAAATTTATGAACTTTGTTTTGTAGCGCTTGTCTACCTTGCATACGTAGTATACAAAAAAAAAATACTCATATACATATTTCATTTATTAAAACAACCGCCAGAAATATTAAATAATTGTTGAATCAGCAGCAGCGAGCCGCAACAAAATGTGGTTGCATTGATTTAATTGTGGTTCTCGGGATGCTGCAACGCTTTCGGCCAGCCACAGACTCCACTGCAACTGCACATATATATATATTTAGTATATGTACATGTAAATTGCGAACACAGTAGTCACCGGCTTCCTGCATCACCTCTGTCCATGGTTAAGGTTGGACGAAAATGCTATCAAAAATAATTTTGCTAATGAGTTTTGCGGCTTGCGGCCGTTTCCCACTTTGTCGACTTTTCCGCATATAGTAAGTGCCGTTAGCAAGCGCTTTCTCTCTACGAGTGCACATCAGGTTGTGAATTTTATTGTAAATTCAGTTTCATTTTGTCATCAGTAGCATAATCATAATAATTCACTCGGTGAGTGCTATTGACTATATTTTACATCCGGCTGAGTGTAATGTAACGGTAACCAGTGGGAAGGGAAGTATATATACTTGTAGTTATTGAATACAACTCTGCACCTTAGGCTAAAAATGTGAGTAGAAAACCAATATTTTGTTGCAATTCTCCATAAATATGTACCGCCAAAAGACAATAATAATAACTATTTGTTGTTGGTTTTCTGTGCGAAGCACTTTAGTTGATTATAAAATTGCACAAGTACAACTCATTTCAATAGAATGCCGCTTACATATAATATGTAAATATGTGTGACTATATTTGCATTTGTAAGAAATCTTTGCATGTGACCACAAGTCGGAAAGTTATGGGTTCGGCTTCTTTCAGCGGCACATTTCTAAAGCTGAGACAATGTTTTTTCTTGTCGTGAAAATGTTTCGCATAGAATTTATGGCAAATAGATTTTAAATTTGTAGAGCTACCACATTGAAATCTATTGAATTTGCTTCACGGTTTTCTCAAGGCGCACACCACAAATAGTTGGAGAAGCGCGGCCAAGCTACTAGCAAAATACGCATAGGTGTATCTTACTTGTATACACATAAAAGTGATAACAAGTACAGCGATATCGACATGGAGTGCTCCGAACGCTTCGAATGACATCCATCACTTACTTCACCAAATATTTATGCTACGATTAAATTAAAATAAATAAAGTCGTATGCTCGTAAGTTATAGTATGTGCGTACTACTACTTAAAAAACTACTTTTTATTATATTTATCTACTGCTTATGTATTGCCTTCACTGCATTCAGCGCCTTCATGGAATTACTTTTAATGGCATGAATGGACTCATGGCGCATTCTCCGAAACGGATTTTCCGTTCGAAAACAAAAAAGGCACAGGCAGTCACAGCCGAGCTATGACTCTCATTTCAGGTTTGGCCAAAAAGTCAGCCCAACAGTCGTGGTGGAAAATTAATGAATTTTTTGCGCATAAATACTGTCAGTTACGACGAATTGCTTTACGTAGTCCTCAAAACAGCCCAGTAGTACTCCTCATTGACCGTTTGACGCCTGTGGAACGAATTCATAGTGAATGACAGCACAATAATCAAGAAAAACAATGAGCATCACATAATTTTTGGTCGACTTTGACATGGTTCTTCGCTTTTGGGGCAACGTTATCAAGCATCTCCTTTGCGAACTCTACTCGATGTCGTTTTTGCACAAGATTTAGGTTTTTTTGTACGAGTCTAACATCGACATACCCAAAACATTAACCAAAAAGGTTGGGTCGATCTATAAGTGATGTTGAGACCTTTTGCTATCTCTCTGATGTCCACACAACGATTTTCAAACACTGTTTCGTTAACTTTTTCGTTATTATAGTCATAAACATATGTAGGTAGGTGGGCGATGCGCACCAGGGAAGTTTCCAATGACTTCACGACCTTCACTGAATATTTCGTGCCACTCAAATGCGTGTGTTCATGATAAAGTAGGCTCCCTAAAATACTTCCAAAACATTTTTAATGATTCATTCCTTAAACGTGTTTCCATTAGAAAGTAAAAATTCCAAGCAAACTCGTTGTTCAAAACCTTTCGCGTCGTAAACAAACAGCTGCCAAAACACACTAATTGATATGTGGAGATTAAACTTCACACCATAATAAATAAAAATTATCGATGCGTTCGGAGCAGTCCGACTCAAATAAGATCAGATGGTACAACTAAAAAATTCAAGTTTAGCTTTTGGCAAGACGACACAACGTAAAAAAATTAAATCAAATTTCAAGCTGTTAGGCACATAGATTTAAATAATGACGCTTTCATTCAAGACCTCACAAGGTCAGGTTGCCCTGAACCAATCTGCCGACAAACGTAGAACCAACCTTCGTGAAAATAAAATGTCGCTTTTTACTACTTCAATAAAATGACAATGCCTTCACAAAAGTATTGTACATATATGAGCGTATTATTGAGAAGGATCGTTGGGTGGGTGGCACATCGAGGAATTTCTTTAATTTTTCAACTTTGTCATTGAATTTTACGTGAGCAGATTTTTTTTGTTTTTTTATAAACTGATAGATATATGACAAGTCCACCAGCTGCGCACAAAAGGTGGGTGTAAGAGAAACAAGCTCATATATGGTACACATGCATACAGGCGCATTTATTTAGCAGCATTTGAGCGAAATTTCGCGTAAAAAGTATCTGCGACGAACACACATACATATTTCTTTTGTGTTCTTTTACGACAAAAATGTATAAACAAAAACTGAAGCTATCCTCGCTATGGGTGTGGCGACAGCGACAGTAGCTACGGTTTTATTATATTTTTCTGCAGCATTCACACACCCACACACACACTTAGCTACCTACCACACACTCGTATTAGGAATTTTGGCAAAAGTGCAAAGCGTCGGAATATTTTTCGTAAATATTATCATTTTGTTTACCATATAACCACATGCGAGAATGTAAAATTCGTTCCATTGCTTTTGTTGTTGTTGTACACATACCTATGTATATGCGAGTGTGTAAGTGTGTGTACAAATGCATGTGTTACCAACATAAAAATAAATTCTGCGTCTAATAAGCTCAGATGATTTTGCGTTGTTTTCAGTGAAAAATCCGAAAAGCCAAGTGGAAATATCCGAAAATAAACATGAATGAAAATTAAATGTATGTGTTTATAATGATTACACTTATCGTTTGACCAGTAGATGACCTGCAGCAGATATAAAGCGAAGCGCTTCAAGGCCGTGCCAGACTTTTCGAATTTCCATTTTAAGGTTTACATAATTTAGCCAAACCGCATTTCTCCTCTCTGTCCGTGTCTTATCTGCAAACAGTGACAACAGTTAATTCACGCAATCTGTACAACACAAACGGCGGTTGCGTTCGAATAATTGATTTTTGACCGGTCAGTAGAGCTCCTGACTGAGCTAGCAATTTAGTCACTGGTTAACTGCATGATTCTTTATCGATCTAAGTCACACTTGGAGTCATTC